TCGATACTTAAATACTTGCAGACTCACAGTGGACAAAGAACAGAAGTGGGAACCTTCTGTATGAACATGCTTATTTTCTCATGTAGCTTGGTTTGCTTGAAAACAACATTGGTTTCTCTCGGAATTTTTATGAAAAATTAAGTTGAGAGCTGATATTCAATTTAAGGTAGAAATTGAATGTAAAAATGGTGTCAGATTCTCTACTTGTTTACGAAAATGTGGCTGTTTATCCAAATTCTCTGTCACTATTATTATAAAACAAGAAAAACATTGCTTAAATTTGAAATAAATATTTTAATTCTAAATGGATATTATTTTTCCTTCCTTTACGGTTTTCATATCTGTCATTATTCCAATTAGATACTTGCTTTCCTTTTGCAGCCATTAGCCTAAACGGACACAAGGTCAGAGTTCAGTTGATCAATTTACATTGTAAACTGAACCCTGACTACAGAAACACTTTAAACATTATTTTTGAGAAAATTAAAAATCTCTCGAGGAAAAAAACAAACAATGAATATCGTATTCTAAGAAACCAAAATAAGGCCATTTTTTTTTTTCACAAAATGTGTTACTTCAATTAACCGAATTTGATTCTCGGCAACGACACAGATTACCCATAACCAGGGTCACGGCGCTGAGCTCATCTTTTATTTATTTTTCATTATTTTATTTATTCATTTTTCTTCATTCATTGAATAAAGAAAATAATGAAAAGAAAATGATAAATAAAATATTTTTCATTCATTTATTATTATTTTATTTATTTATTCATTATTTTTCACATTCATTTTTTGCTATTCATTCATTTTTCATTGTCATTTATTTTTTCATTATTTGTCATTTATTTCCTCATTATTTATACATTTTTCACTATTTTGTATTCATTTTCTCATTTATTTCTCATTTTCATTAATTCATTTATTTATTTATCATAATTTTTCACTATTTCATTTATTTATTCATTTTCAATATTTATTTTTCATTATTTGTCATTTATTTATTAATTTCATTTATTTATTCATTAATAATTTCATTTATTTATTTTTCATTATTTTCACTATTTCATTTATTTATTCATTTTTCATTGTCATTCATTTATTAATAATTTCATTTATTTACTTTTCATTATTTTTCACTATTTCATTTATTTATTCATTTTCAATATTCATTTCTTTATTTTTCATTTGTTCATTATTTGTCATTTATTTTTTCATTATATCATTTTTCAATATTCATTTCTTTATTATTTATTATTCATTTTTCATTATTTTATTTATTCATTTTTTTCATTACTCATTTATTTATTCATTCATTCGTTTTTCATTCCTTTCTTTACTCATTATTTATTTATTTTTAATTCATTTTTTCATTATTATTTACTTATTCATTATTTGTTTATTTATCGTCTTCATCCGGAGATGACTGAGGAGGAACGGATCTCATGTTGAACAAACTATAGCGTTCTCTTATTTATCTACTTGCCCTCTGCTATAGCAGGATGACACATGTTACACGTGGGGGATACCCATAACATATGAGCCAAGGATTAAGAAAAAAAAATGTAGAGTCATGCAGGCATCAGCGTACACCGACCCACCCAGTTTAGTGCCATGGTGGAAGACGGAAGAGTGTTATTGTTAAGTTGCAATAAGCTCTCTTCATCGCTAAACTGTTAAACTGTCCGAGGATAAGCGTCAGAACTCCGCATCCAACTGCGTAAACACAGCAGAAGAAGTGAAAAATGACTGCCCTGATCCTAGACAAAAGTACTGATCCACTATTTTTTTCTACAGTGACAATGTTTTTTTGTTTTTTTTTTAAATAAACCGCCATTTTTTTTTATCTGATGACATCCATACTTAAAGCTTATTTAACATTCTTGTTGCTGTTCACAGATTACCATGACCCTTAGAAATCATTCTTCCACGAATTAAATTTCTGGCTTATTTCTGTATGGTATATTATTTGGTTCCTTAGTTAAGGCTGACAATAGTCAGGTGTTTTCTTGCATGTCTTCAAGTGAATAAAGTGTTATTTATATATTTCTTATTCTGGCGATTAAAAGAAAAAAAGTTCCTAATAATAAGTAGTTAATATATTTCTTAATTCTTTTTTTTTTAATCAGTTAATTTAGAAAGCGTCTAATTTTGTATATGAGGAGGCACGGTGGAGTAATGGATAGCGGCACGGATTGAGGAATCAGAGAGCCGAGTTCGATTTCCAGTGGAATGCATTACATTACTTACGTGTTGATACTCTTGGGAAAGGTATTAATCCTCTCCTCTTCCCCCAGCTATGAGTTAAGTAGAACAGACCGGGTTCTACAGCAGAAAGACATGGCAACCTACTGCGGCAAAAAATCTGCCTCGTCAGTCATGTATCGAAAGATACATGATCGCCTAGCATATATCACGCATGGCACACAACTAATTTTATATAAATTTGCATCACTGACAACTCGGTTAAAGTTAACGCGATGAGGAAGATTCCATATTGTTCTGTTTCAAATATTGAAGAAGAAAAAGTAAAGTTTTTTTTTAGAGACAACCTAGGATCCTTACATTCACTTATGCGCAAATACCATCTTTTCTCCGCATCCCCAGCTATGGGTTAAATAGCAAGACTGGGCACTATAGCCTTGTTTGGCAACCAGTCTACCGCGGGAAAATCGAAAGAGACCTGATCGCCCAAGCGTATATCGTGTATGGCATTTTAAACTGACTGATATTATTTTGAGCCCTACTTAATTTGGCCATTTCTTTTTCTTAATTGCGAATCATTGTTGGCAAAATTGGCCGCAGCAGATGTATGAAATTAAAAAAAAAATCAACGTAAATTTAGAAAACGAAAATGGTTAAATTTGACAAACATAAAATGTCTATACTTTTCTATAAAACAGGTCTAAATGAACAACAACCTAATTAAATACTCACGTACACACAATATCCCCGTCCGGTTCACACTCCTCCCCGGTCTTTTGATTGAACAGGAGTAGTGGTTTATCCCTTGTTTCTTGTTTAGAACTGGGTTTCCGGTTCTTTCTAAAGTCTGCGCCTAAACTGTGAAATTTTATTTACTATTTATTTTTTTTCCTTGGGTGTAGATAGGTTCGTCTATTGTCCGGTTAACACACCTCCCCGGTCTTTTGAACAGAAGATGTTAATACCTTGATTCTAGTTAGGATTGGGTTTCCGGCTTCTTCTAAAAAGTCTTTTCATTCGCTTTCACTTCCAATAGCCCCCTTGCATCTTAGTGGCATTATCGCCTTGCTTGGGATTAATTTATTAAAAAAAAAAAAAAAAAATTTAAAAAATGAAAGTCTTCGACTAGTTATGCAAATTATTCTTTAAAACAGGCCTGCTATTTTTAAAAAGGAGATATCACACAAGAAAATTTTTAAATAAACGCCAGGAAAAAGTTGGCCCCAATTTTTTTTTTTTTTTCTGAGGACTTTTTTTGATTTTGTGTGAACCATGAGCTTAAAAAAGAATATGAGAAGGCCGAACTAAAAATTAGAGTAGCCAAGCCCCTTTTAAAATCTCTCCTCTGGTGACGCCCCTGTATTTAGAGGACCGCTACATTTGGTTTATGAATAATAACCATGTTCACCGGTCAATAGGAAGCATGTGCGTGTGTGTGTGCGTGTTTTTTTTTTTTTGTTTGTTTAGGGAACTGGGAACGACCAATTTACTGCAAGTTAAACCAGGCCTCCTTAACTTCCGTAGGTGGAACAGTAGTTAATAAATATACCATATTGGATAAAGTGTTGTAAATTAAATGTTCGTCTATGTCAGAAAATAGTGTACTTATTGGTGATAAAAATAAAAGATTATTTAGAAGAAATGTTCTCTCGATTCAGAAAAAAAATTCATATTTTTTTTCTTTGGTTGCCTCAGTCTTGACAAATTTGTAACTTGTTGCAATTTATAACAGATCTTTAATGTCTGTCCTCCAGATGCTAGCAAAAGAATCCACTTTAGGAAAGTATTGATAAGAAACACTGAACAATAAAGTTCAAAAGATGATGAAAATAACGAATTGAAAAACTCAAAATTTCATCCAAAAATATAAAAACAAATAAATTTTAATATTTTTCTGAGTTGTAGTGTTTTATTATTGTAGGAAAAACGGAGATATTAAAAAAAATATAAGAAAACGAAGAGGAAAAAATACGAACAGCTGACTGGCAGTTGTTTCTCTCTTAGCAGAGCAAGACCGAGGAATAAGAAAAGCGACACAACGATTAAAATAAAGAATAAATACCAGAGATATTTTTTAAGGGTTTTTCGTCTTAAATTCTATATAAGGCGAAAAATCTCAGGGGCTAAAAATCTTCAATTTATTTTGTGTCTATTATTGTGGAACTCCGCTTTAGTATTATTAATTAATATAAAAATCAACTTGTTTTTAAATTTTAAAAACAAGTTGATTTTTAAAATTTAAAATGTTAAATTTTGTAATGTTCCACGAGTTTTTAGAATTATGTTTGTTTATTTTTTGATCATTATGTTTCAGCAAATGAAATGCGTTCTTCGACCATCTTCCAAGAAGATTTTTCTCTACAAAAGTAGTTAAAAATGTACTGTAGTAATTCGGTCTGTGGAATAAGAAGAGAACATAAGGAAATAATGTCCAAGATCGATTTCGTCATTCAAACTTGGAATTTTGTTTCTTCATCCACTCCCGCTATTGAAAGTAGTGGAAAGTAATTAACGCAGTTTTAAAGATTCTAACATCCAAACCGATTTTCATTTAGGATTTTCCCTCACTTTTTGCTACAATAAGAGAAGACACTTAAATTCTAAGAAAGGAAGATTTATGAACACAAACACATTTACACGATTGACAAAAAAAAAAAAAAAAAAAGAAAACAGCAAAGATAATATCAGTTGTCCAAGAAACTGGCAGTTTTTTTTTTGTGGTAGTGGTAGACACTTTTCAGACGTGGAGATTTGTGTGTGTGTGTTAAGGAATAAAAAAATTTAAAAATTCCTTACCTTCCGAGTTAATGAGATCTTAGTGTCCTGCGGTATTTTTAGTTTCTCAGCCATGATTTTGTTTTATACAGTTTTTATTTTTTTAATTATTTTTTTTTTTTTTTTTATAATTCCTTTATGCGTAACGAATTGCACGGTTTGATGAAGAAACAAACAGACGATAACATTTGGTCATGTAGTTGAAGAAAGCTGGTTCTGTGCTGGTGCTTTTGTGATGAAAGAAGAAAAAGAAAAAAAAAAACGCTCGATTTAGCGACAGAGAAAAAAGGAGAAATAAATAAGCAAAGGAAAATTTAGAGAAGATTTCAAATCCGGAAAAGTAAAAATACAGTCATTTTGGTGATATTTGTTGATATACTGTGACGAATAACAATAACATCAGATGATAAAGTTTTCAGAGAGCTGTCGAGAAACGAAAACAGTGTAAACATGGAAAGAACTTAGACTAGAAAAGTTGTTTGTAGTCTGGCTACATCAAAAATCAAAATGGTAGCACTTAAAAGGTGGTTTTTGGAGGGGGCCTTCTAAGGGACAGTAAAATACGAGAACTCCTGCTTGCGTGTGGCAAGGAAATGACCGAGAGCAAGCAGCCTAGTGGGAGGAGCTTGCTAGGTGGTGATACTAAAAAAAAAAAATATTCCATTGATGCTAAAATAAAAAAGAAGAAAAGGAAGTGGGCGGGGAGAACGTGAGACTACAAAATAAAGAAAGGAAACGAAAGAAAAATAGGAAATTTGGAGTAAAAAATGATTAAACCTAGTAAAACGAGGCAGAAAAAAAGCCCCTCCCAACAGTAACAGAAGTTCGTCTCGCGAACAATATTATTTTCCTACACTTGTATCCTTATGCCAACTAGTGCCGGATTTAAGCATGAACTTTAAGACCGAACCATCCGCAAACTTCTTTCAGTGGCTCTTGAGCCATTTAGGGATTAAAATTTTTAGTATGAAGAAAAAAAAAGATTATTTAAATGAGGCTTTTGAAATTATAATTATGCTAAAGTACTTCCTATTTCAGTTTAGATTCGTGTTTCCCAACGTGTGGCGCACGCCCCCACGGGGGGGGGGGATTCGAGAAGGAGTTATTAACAGTGATTTTTTTTTTTTTTTTTTTATCTAGAGACACGGTGCGAATTAATACGGTGCACATACAGTATGCATACATACAAATATTTGTATGTATGTACAAGTAGGTATGTGTGTGTGTGTGTGTGAATATATATATAGAAAATAGGAAAAAACTCGTTAGGTAAATAATTCAAAGTTCTTTAGTATTTTTGCTATTATTTTTTAAAAAAAACTGCTCGATACAAAAAGTAGAGCCTAATTATTTATTTAAAAATATGATTCCATTGCTACAAGATTTATTTAGCGATGGAATCATATTTTTAAATAAATAATTATATATATCATGATGAATCTAAATGAAATAATAATAAAAACGAAAGAATATTAATTAATATACAACTCAGTGTCTCTGAAGATTTAAATTTTTTAATATTTTTTATCGTTCAAAATATATGAGAAATATATATATATAAGAAATTTATCACAATTTCTTAGTAACTTCTTCAGTACTTCAACTGTCTTTTTGTTCTTTTATTTTACTTTTTCATGGATGCCATACTCTTTGAAATCTTGTTTAGACCAAGTTAATGGCCCTTTAAGCATCCTCCACCTGAATAGGAGTTCACTTTATGAATAATAAGAATTATATATCACAGTATATGTGGGGCGGCATTAGAATTGTAGAAATGATTAGGGAAAATGGTTGGGAAGCGCTGATTTAGACTCTGTAAAATTTTATATACCCCGAAGTTTCTGGACGTGGTTGATGATAGCTCTCCACATCTTCCTGTCTTTTGTTAAGTCAACTCTTGTCCCTGTATGTCGTTCTTTGCCATTCATTTACGCAAAACACGTCAAATAGTTTACTTCCCGTTATTTCTTTCTTCCATGTGCCCTGAGAGTATTAAATTCTTTAAACCTTTTCACGTCATGCATCTCTCCTCCCCACACCACCCAACATGAAGAACTTGAAATATTAACAAAAAAATTGAAAAAGAAAAGAAACTCTTTTTATAGACTCAACAAGTGGATATCTGGCTGTGGTACAAACTTGAGGCTAAAATATTTAAGTGATTTACTAATCTCAGCTTAGGTGTGGTACAAGGCCGCAAATACAGAACACCTGAGAGGATCGAACTCGCCATTTAGTTGGAACTGATCTAGCGAGACGAGCTCGCTAACCATTACACCATACTGCCTTCGAAGCTAAAATTATTGGTCTCTTATCGGTAAATAATTTCAAATCTCGCAGTTTAGTAACCCAGTGAGTTCGATTTTAGATTTGTGCCGGAATAAGCCATGAGACAATGGTTAGTGAGTTAGTCTCGTAAAAACTTATACGGACGCCTAGTGAGTTCGATCCTCATAGGATATTCCACAATTTTCAGTAAAGTTAATTGGATGCTTTAGATAATACTTAGAAATCGAAGTTTAATAATAAAAGTGGTCTTTCCGTGACTAGGGCAGTAAGATTGCTTTCAGTAATTCGAGTCCAGATGAGAAAAAAAAAAGTCCATTAGATTGTGGCACAAGGCCGAAAGTATGGGACACCCAGTGAGGATCGAACTCACTACTAACCAAGCTGGCTTGCTAACCATTACTCCACGTCGAAGTGCACAAAAATATGGAACGCTTCACGAATTTGTTTGTCATCCTTGCGCAGGGGCCATGCTAAACTTTTCTTTATCGTTCCAATTTTATTTTAGTTTATGTACTGCAACGAGTGCAAATGCTTTTTCTAAGCGTACCTTCGATGTGGCACAACAAGGCCGAAAGTTTGGGGCACCCAGTGAGAATCGAACTCACTACTCAGTCGTAATTGTTCTCTAGCGAGACAAGCTTGCTAGCCATTACACCACGCCAGGGTGCCCCCCCCCCCCACAGTTCATTATATCAAGTTCTAGATTATTCTAAAATTGTAGAATCAAAAATGAATATTTTAAATTCAATTTTAATTCAATAAGTCAAAATTTACATGCCTGTTAAAAGCTGAAATAAAATGCAAATTTCTGTTAAGATAATGTTCATATTTATGCCGAATTATCGTCGGAATTTTTAAAAAAAATTTTATTATATTCAGACATTTTTTTTTTTAAATGAAGGTAAATAATTGTCATATGATACGAAATATTACTTAGTCGATAAATCCGTTTGGATAATTAGTACTTATTTTTTTATTGTGCGTCACTAAAATTAACTATGATAACAATAACATGAATGTTGATACGCCAGACAATCTTCTGTTTTCCTCTTTGACATTGTAAGTGTAAGCTTCAAGAAAAACGAAAAAAAAAAAAAAAAAAGGAGTTCAATAATGTATTCAATGATAAAAACAAAAAAAGAAAGATAATTAATAGCGGAGAAAACAGAAGATGAAAAAAAAACAGCAGAAAAAAGAAACGACAGCTCTTTAACTTAAAAAAACAAATAAAAACAAAATAGCGTTTTAGCTGTTAGCAGCAGTAGCCGTGGGAATATGCCACGCGAATTTAACGATTGGTTTTCTGGAGGATGTTCGTAAGTCGAGAAAATAATTGCTATGATGAGTAATTGCTAAGATCTCTTGAGAAAAAGAGTTGTTGCATCTTGGGCGCCTACCCTAGCAAGATTTTCTGTGTAGACCAATTCACCCGTACAATGAGTACAATCCTGACTAGGTACACTTCCACCGTCCCCCTTGTGCCAGGCGAAGCTCAACTTAATAAATCACTAACTCGAGGCAGCGAATAATGTCTGTGCGCATGCGCCCGTAAACCGTGCAGTAATCATTTTTATTTAAGTGTCTGTGCGTGTGATTTTTTTTTTTTTTTAACGACATCCGTCAGTTTCTTTTGTATATCGATATTTACTGTGTTTAGTGCAGTAAATGGCTAAAAATCTATAGTAGAGGGGTGATTCAAGGTCGGATTAATATTGGGTGCCGTCCATACAGGCAACGGCGAAAAAACAAAAAAAAAAAAAACAAAAAAAACAAACTGCCCAATTCCCGTAACCACTGTAAATCTGGTGTCAATATCCACTCATCTTCCCTCTTTAGCCCAATGTAAATGTGTTTGAATCATCTGGACAAGGCTCTCCTCATAGCCTGAAGGGGAAGAAAGAACAGATACCATACAAAATTCATACCAGCGAAAGGCTAAATGATGCGAGGGATGATTAATCTAGGATGATTGTATTGCGTCAGTTTTTTCAAGTTGGAGGGCCTGCTTGCCTATCGTGAAAAGTAAATATAATATTTAAAAAACGGATGTGTGGGTTGCGTAGTGGTCATCAGCGAACAGATTTCAAGTTCTATCTTCGCCTGTTGTTTTGACGTCGAACAGGTACTATAGAGAAAATACATCAATTCTGATCTATGGGTAAATTAGCTTGGGTTCTTTAGACCTGGGAGGCAGCCGGTTTATGGAAAAGGATAATTCTCAATTCAGAACCACGCAGAAGGCAACAGGAAACCACTCTACTATCTTTGCCAAGTAGTCATGGCAATTCACAGATAATAAAGAAAAAGGAGTCAGTAGAGAACCAGGATGGACTACATTCTAAAGCTACAATGACATTACACAAAATCATAGATCTAATTTCAAAGCCTTGTCCGTTCAAGACGTGACGATCAGTATACCGTACAGATTACACTTTCTTTATCATCTGTGTATCCCCTTGCATTTTTTTCTTTTTAGATAATGAAGTGGTTTCCTGTTGCCTTTTCCACAGTTTGGTATTCAAAATTCTTCTTCTCGGCGACTGATTCAAAGCAGGGGTACTTGTGCGAAAGTGTGCTCAACAAGACTATCCCAGAATTTGAATTTGGTTCGCCGATTCCACTTTTACTAATGTTCGCCATATACAAGACCCAAGAGCCACTCAAGGTAGAGGATTACTGAAGGCGGATGTTGTGTTAGCGGTAAGAGTAAGGGGTGCAGTTTATGCTGATATATAAGAAAGATAATGGCTACCCTAATCTTGAAGCGGTTAAAATTTTAGTGATCG